TGAACCCAGAGAAAAAAGGTCCAATTCGAGGTGAAAATAATGAGCGCTGAACTTGCTTGTTCCTTCAGAAACCAGCTGCAGAAGATTCTTTTTCGTACACTTCCACATGTGCTACATTATTTGCTTTTTCTGTGTTTCAACAGGCCTTGAATAGAGGTATCGCTGCCGTCAAGGAAGATGCTGTGGAAATGCTGGCCAGCTATGGGCTGGCATACTCCCTCATGAAGTTCTTCACGGGTCCGATGAGTGACTTCAAAAATGTAGGTCTGGTGTTTGTGAACAGCAAGCGAGACAGGACCAAAGCAGTTTTATGCATGGTTGTGGCAGGCGCAGTAGCTGCTGTATTTCATACCTTGATAGGTAAGGTCACTTCACGTCTAATTAATACGTTTTTTAATTTGTTTCCCTCACCTGTTCTTCACACTGATTAATCTGTAGGCTTAAGATTTCACCAGGAGATGCAAAAGAGATTAAATCTCTTGGGCTGGTATCATGCCCATCCATGCAATTTTTACTACTTTTTGAACAGGTTGTTAAGTGGCAGATTCCACCCCAGGGCTCTCCTGGCTGGCAGCAGAACATGCTGCTGATCTCTTTCAGTCAGGTGTGTGAGCAAAACTTTGTCAAGGTTGACAGGTGGCACGAAGCTGATAGCTCAAGTCCTGCTGTTAGGTAGTGATGATCAACTAACAGTATCTGCCCGAATGGGTTTGGCAGGACTTCAGGGTGTGCTTGGTAGGGCTGTTTGTCAGGACTTGGTGGCATTGTCAGTGTACTCCCTCTGTACCTATCCCTTTGCTACTTATCTCACAGTACAAAACTCTAAGCAAGTAGGTGCCAGCATCCTCATTAAAATACCAGGTATTACTCTCTACTAGTGCTAGTCATCATCCATTTCTGTTGAATAATTAATCTGCAAGAGAAGAAGTAGTTACTAAGAGCACTTTGTGCCAAACTGAAACCAGCTCCCTGAGTGTACTCTGAAACAAAGACAAGACACAAGCAGATATGAACTGAACATAAAAAGTAAGGCAGACACGGGATTTGCCAGTTTCTGAGAAATTGGATATCAACTCAAGCATCAGCCACAGCAAGAAGCAGCCATGTGACCTGGAAAACTTTAACTTCATCCTCTCCAAGAACTGCACCAGATTCTCTGCACCTTCTGGCTCATTCTGCAGAGCCGAAACCTCTGGACCCCAGCAACGAGGAGCAGGAGACGCTGGAGGAAGAAGCAGAGAGTGCATTGCATTCAACAGGTAAAATCCTAACAGCTGAGAGCTCTAAGCGTGGGAGGAGGGAGGTAATGAAACGGCCTATGGAGGCATGTGTTGGTTGACAGGCAGTAGGGTTGAGTTGGATGAGCAGCACTAGGGGGTCATTCCATCACAGAAGGATAGGAAATGTGAGTGTGATGGCAATATCCAGAATTGCTGTGAAATTATAGAGTGGCCTGGAAGTGAGGCACCATTCATTATCAGTCTGTTAGTATCTCAAGAGCAGCACATGCTGCCGGTCAGCATATGGAATAGAACAGTCTAGACTAGATAGACTAGACTATTTCAGTTCCTGCCCAAGCAGGTACAAAGACATCTGGTAAATACGAATACCCCCTGCTCTTCTTCTTTAACAAGCTGCCAGCTATATTCACCAGCTTTATGTTCCTCCCAGGCACTCCAGTTTGTTTGACCACCATGTCTTTTACTCCAACCACTGATGTGGCAGCCCGGTGCTGTTTACCTTTACTCCATGTTACAGTCGTCATAAATGCTTACAGTAACAGCTCACTAGCCATGACAACTCTGTGCCAGGGATAAGCTGTTCCTAATTTTATTAGCTGAATCCATGCATTCAAGTTAATTTAATTTACTGGCATCGATTGGTCACTTCCTCAATATGTTTACAGTTGAGGCTGCTTTATTGAGTCAGTATTATAAACTTTGGGCCATTTGTACGTTTGACTCTCGTATTTCTTTGCTTGGAATGTTTCTTCAGCCCCCAGAGCTGCTCTTGTAGTTGCTCACTTGTTTTCCTGCCAGTGCTGGTCAAAGTTTGTGGCTTTGCCAGCTGGATAAAGAAATATTTTCTAGTCATCCAACATTTTATTTTAAGCTACAATAGATTTTAAGAAAATACAAAGTATAACTATCAAATTTCCAGGTGAAAGAGATAGCTGGATTTTCCATGTGGGAGTTCTTATTGAAGGGAGGTGTTTGGGGCAGCCATTGGAAAACATGCCAGACAAGTTTCTTGCCTTTCCCTGGAAGTAGAGCCCTGCTGAGTTCAAAACTTCTGAAATGCCCTCTCTGCGAATATTGGGGGGGGGGCAGGAAAGGCTGTACTTACCATCCTTTAAAGTCCTGAATTAAAGGTCTTCACACAATCTTTCAGCTGCTTATGGTTGAAGACTGCAAAATATTTTTTAGTATTTTAACTTGTCTATGCCTGAAAATATGCAAAGGCCACAGCAGAGACTGGCAGAGTGCCTGAGAGAACGGAGTTAGTCAGATTCTAGCACCAATTGCCTGGCTGATGTGGCCAAGTTTTATGTTCCAAGTTTCCTTTGAACCTGTTTCAAATCCTGATTATTCTTCTCTGACCCACAGATGCACAACCTGCCTAGCAGGAGGAAGAGAAGGAGTGCAGTGACAGACAGGCAGCCTCTAGGACTTGCAGCTACTCCCCAGCAGCTGGAAGCCTGTTACAGGCTATCTACCCGAGACGCAAATACAGGTTACCGATGCTCGGCAGATGAAAAAGAGAAACAAACAGCGCTCAGGGGACTGAATTTCTTCCACATGCCATGTTTATGGGGCTAAGGAAGATGACATGACTGTCTGCCATGAACTGTTGAAGCCCAGGAAGGAACAGAGAACAAAAAACCCAGTGAAATGAGGAGTACTGAAAGTCAGAAGGAAGAAAACAAGTGGTGGTAGAAACACAGTGACCACAATGAATCACCACATTTCCAACTGTGATAGAGACTATTTGCAGTCTGCACACACAGCTCCTCACAAACAGCAGCCTCTGCTTGTTTAAAATATAAAAACAGACCATTTCACCCACCTGACTCATGCTTCATTACTTCAGCACCAGCTCCCCACTACTGCTTCCCCACCGGGGCTAACTCAAGTGACTAGCTGAGCCAAACCACTCGAAATCACAGCTGCAAGCTCTGGGTCCGTAAGCCATCACCCCACCACATTCCCATGAACATCCGGCAAAGTCCTCACCAACAGCTCTTATCACTCCCTTGGTAGAGGTAGCAGTAAGAACCAAGAAACAAGTTGACCTTGACCAAAGGGATTTGAAACCGTATTCTCGTCCCACCTATAAGGCTGTTGCAAACCTTGTCAGTACAGTATTCCTGGATTCGCTGTTTCAGTTGCAGTCAGGCAATAACGGATAGTATGCTGCCTTCCTTCCTCTGTGCTGTTTAGGGGGCAGCTACGGCCACCAGTTAGGGTCTCCTGGTAGGATGTTTGCTGTGTAGCCAGGGTCTAAAGCATCTTATTATTTCAGAGACTGGCTTTTGGTGGGAATATGGGGCTGTAAGAGAAGGGATTCAAGAGGCTAAGCCTGTCTGTGCATATTTTTGACATCTTACTAAGTTGCCAGCTTGACAGAGGAGAGAAATCATTTATATAACATTATGCTAACATAGTGCATTTCATGGTGGTGTTGGTAAGCCCTCCGTACTAAGTGGGTCCTTTTAACAGCAGTGTCATGAAAGATATGCACATTTTCTTCGGCAATGAAACAACATTGTTCAGCCTTTCACTAGTTTACTGAGGAATAAGGTACTGAGAAAGCTTACTTCCTTTTGCATATTAGTATTATTTTCCACAGCTCTCTGAGGTTCTGGAAATGGCAAGGCAGAAGTTACTTTGGGGAAACATCCTCTTTGCTTAAGTAGCCATCCTTAACTTGTGCCCACTGCACCTGATTAAAAACTACATGTTGGATCATTTGTCATCACCAGGGAAAAAAGGTCGGAACTTTAGTAACCAGGCAAACCTATAGCAGACTGGATGGTCAAGACATGAGTGAATAGTTTTGTGCCAGTTTATTACTGACAGGCTAGCGGGCATGGCCACTCCCTGCGCAGGTTGCACAGGGGAAAACTTCAGCAGTTGCTAGTTAATTCCACTGGTTTTTTTGAACTTCCCACATGCATGGTCACTGCATGTACATGAAAGATCTGCATAAGAAAAGGAAGACATAAGTGTCATCTCACCACTTCCAGTGTAACACTACTGGAATTTTCTAGAGACTAGGAGTTACAGAGTGGCTCATGACAACCCGAGCTATTTTTTCCAGTCAGTCTTGTTCTGATGTACCCATTGTACTGGCTTCTACTAAATGTTTTGGACTGGAAAAAGGTGACAGCACAGAAACACAAATCAGAATATAATCCAGGCTTGCTTTTTGTTTTTTTTTTCTTTCTAAAATATGATAAAATGTTATTCATTAAAATGTGTCCTACTTCAGCATCTTCAGATGGCCATTGCTAAAGCAGTAACATGCTTCCCCAGCTGCCCCAACCCTTCTCCCACAACAGGAGCAGTTTCTTATCAGCAAGGTATTCAGGGCAAAGGAAGAAGGAAGAAAGCCTATGACCAATTTGTGGATTTTAGGATAGCAATGATTGTTTTTTACTTAAAACAGGCTAATTTTGAGACTTATGAGTTGTTGGCCTACCTAAAGATATTTCAGAGACCAACGGTCATTGATAGGTTTGGGAAAATTGACTAATGCAATTTTGGAAACAGAGCTGAGCACAGAAAAAGATGATTGCAGTAATCAGTCTGCATTGAGATGCTCCTAAGCTATTCTTTTTTTAAATTAATTTATTACTCTGAGTAAAAAAAAATATAAAACCTAAACCACTGTGATCATCTGGACTTTCACAAGGAGGACACAGCCTTTTGCTTCTGCTTTAAGTCAGGCTAATCAAAGACATAACAAAATCTATGTACCCTGTGCCATCTCCAAATGGAGATTTGCCACTTAATTATTTTTTTTTTTCCAAATTGGCGTTTTTCTATCTGCCCAAGTAACGTAGCTGAACAAAATCCTGATCAATACCAGTCTTGGCCATGTCAGCCATCTTTCTGTCAAGCAGCAGAATAGATTTTTACTTCTCAAGTCTCCAAGTTCATTTCTAACACTGGCAGCAAAGTATAACAATGGAATACATCTAAAAAGAACACGCTTCAGATTTTTGGATTTTTTTTTTTTTTTTTTTTTTTTTGGTCCAGTAAAGCTAATATTGACATATGTAGCTCTGTGTCTGGAAGTAAATGGTATCACTTCCTATGAGGGTTTCTTTTTGTTTTCTTTATGATGTAAGTATAACATGCTGGGTAGTAGACAGCTCCAAAATGACTACGGTAGAGCTATTTATTTGAGACTGCTGGCATCATTAAGAGGGTGTTCAGTTGTTTTAAGTATGTCTGAAATTTATGTGGTAGGAATCGGCTTGTTAGAGAAATCAGTGTAGGGTTTTTTTTGTAGGGAAGACGAGATCTGATTAGGCATGCAGTTTTCAGTGTCATTTCTAAAGCTTCTGGGTCTTAAAACTCAACTGGAAAAGCCAAAACCAAGAATTTCTGCCTAAATTCTGTAGCAAAACTAATCCATAGACACATGAAAATAAGTGAGGTATTAGAGGAGAGCAAACAGGCAGCTTGTCTTGGAGTTGGGGACTTCTCTGGTTGAAATGAGGCAAGGAATGGGAAGAGCCATCTGCTTTAGATTCATGTAGCTCTGTTGTCAGTGTTATTAATTTAGCACCATGCTTCATAATAAGTTTGTAAGGTTGGCCAAGGTTAAGTTCTAATTGCATCAGCAATTGCTTTATTCACAGCTCAGAGACACATGCCTGTATATTTGTCAGTAAATCTCAGCTTGCTGAGTCCTTTCTGAGGATGGAAACATTCATGGACATCAGCAAAAGTGATCGTGTCCTTTCACTGACATGTGGAATAGTTGGCTGTTTTAAAACTAGCTTTGAAACTTAGCCATTATGGTACTAAAATCAAAATCACATTAAAAAGTGCAGTTAGACTTTTTTTTTTTTTAGATGAGGGAGAGAAAAAAGAATCTTAAAGCTTACAGAGAACCGTGTTGATATCCCTAGAAATCTTAAAAATGTGGTGCTGTGGGCTGTGGTGGTATAAGTCCCTTGAGAGTGCCCTGCCAATAAACTATAACCCTGTGGTGAACTGTCTGTTTCTAGGAGTGAGAGTAGTTCAGCCTCTGACCCCTCTGATTCTGTGAATTTTGCTGTGATAGTAAACTTTAAAAAAAAAAAAAAAATTAAACATCTCAGTGGCTTTTAGATGCAAAAAAGTTACTTATTAACCACTTTCTAAATACTTTAAAAGTCTCATTTAAAGCAGACGAAGCCAAGCAGGTAAAGTGCATGGAGAGCACGGAGGGTGACTTCTGCGGCGCGCTGTCTTCCCAGCACTGTGCCGCTGGCGGAGGCTCCTCCACAGCAGCAGGTTCCCCAGCAGCTGGACTCTGATTCTGTCAGTGCCTCTGTGGGCAATAGGGCTGGTGTGTTTCCTGCAGCGGTTTTTAAGTTTTTGTGCAGGAGAACTTCAACAGAACCTGAGGGACAGCTTGACGAATCTGACCTTCACAGTCAGCTTGCCTCACGTGCCTTCCAAAGTTCTTCTCCTTCATTTAGATAAGTCAATTCAGAAACTTCTATGTACTGCCCTTCCATAAAAACAGCTTTCCACAAAGACTTACCTGCATAACAGAGATTTTTCAAAAATTGGTGTATGGGTATTCATGCAAAAATAAAAATGTGTGCTTGATGTGTGACTGGACTGCAACAAGCACATGAACTTAAAGAACTAAACTGGCCTCCCTGTACTGAGCAAAGGTTGGAGTCCTGGTTTAAAGTTCTTCCCCAACCCTCTTCAAGAGGAAACAAGACTGGGAGTGCCTCAGGAGGATGGCTAAGCAACTTGGGGATTACAGGGTGAACTGGGAGACTGTGAATCTAACAGTTGTTGTTCAGATGAAAGACATATATATAGGGACCAGCACAGGGAAAGGCTGTGTTTTTAACATTTTAGCATCTTTTGGGCAGTCCTGGTTATCTGCAATGAAGCTCGTGCCTGTTCCTGGTGCTGTCATACCACCTCCTTCTATTTTACTATGTTATTTACACTGTCTTGTTCAGACTGAAAAAAGTCTTTTCAGTCGTGTTAACCACCTAACTGCTGTATCCCTAAGCCATCACAAAACAATGATGACTTAAAGTCCTCTTTAATTGCTTGCAAACACTGTTTATGAGTGAAGAGAGGTAATTTTAGGCTAAAAAGATTGGATTGGATGACTAGTGTTAGCGTTTGTCGATCTGATTATGTGACCTCCATGCATGAAAAGGGTAACGTTCCTGAAATACCCTATATGAAGGTCTGTACTATGATAATAGAGTTGTTATAAATGGAAAATCAGATAGATGTTCACATTTGAAATAATTATCATAGAAAAGACACAAGTGGAAGAGAACTGAGGTAACATGTCCCAGGCACAGGTAGTTCTGCCATGACTTGTGTTGGAAGGTTGACTTTACAACTTAATCTTTTTTTTAACAGCTATTACAAGTGTATAGAGGAAACTAAGTAGGAATATGCTGGTCTAGAACATAGTTTATAAAAGGTTAAAAACTATTAGGATTATTTAACTGTGCATATTATGTAAGTCACCATAGTTCAGTGACTCCAGTCATAACTAGCTCTTCATTATTCCCGGTCATGGGGAGGACTCTGGGGTTATTAAAACAGCTGGATAACACAGGTACTAACAGAGACGTAAGCAATTCTTTAAAGAGCTGTGTGGTGAGTCCCTGAGTCTATGCTGTCTTCAACCCAGCACCTTGGGAAGAGAGACATGGCAAGAGGCATGTTGCCCAACACTAAAAATTCTCATCTTGGGTTGAAACAGGATGGTAAAATAACATACTGGCAGTCGGAAGTGCCAACCCCCTGATTTCCAGCCGTGCCCTTTGCTGACTTGTGGCTCCTGGGTTGCCGGCTCTAGATAAGGAAAGAAACTAAGATGGGTTGAGGCTGCCCAGAGACTGTAAAATGAAGGCACAGTGCCCTGACAGGTCCCAGCAGAGGTGATCATTAGGCATAATGAGTGTGATTTGTTGCATGCCTTTGCAATTCATAGTATCCTTTTACAGCTTTGGGCAGGTTTACAGGTCACGACAATAGATGGTTTTAGCATTTATAAGGTATTTCATCCCATGAAACACACAATGCCTGGCGAAAACAGCTTTTCTAACAAAGCCTTGAGTCAATGAAAGAGCAGTAGATGTTCTGGAGTACCAGTGGGTTCATTTAGCAAACAGATGTGGCACTTACTATACCCATCTCCCAACCCAACCATTTGTTATCACTCCACTGCCAAAGGTTACTTGAAAAAGAACCCTGAGAGCACTCCTTAGTCATAAACAGCAGCTGGTGAGGCTGTAATATCCTGAAGCCCCTGCAGCTGTTTGCTAAGTGGATGCATGTCTGAGCTGCTAGGCATCACAGTCTTTCAGGTACTTCCGAGTATCTCACCCAGAGTCCATATGTAACCCGTATTATTCATTCCTATTCTTGTGTCTCCACAGCATATAGCGATTTGGGGTATTACATTATTAATAAGCTGCACCATGTGGATGAATCAGTGGGAAGTAAAACTCGGAGGGCCTTCCTTTATCTTGCTGCCTTCCCTTTTATGGATGCCATGGTGAGTGCCTGATTCAGAACTGAATTTTGGTATTAATGTTGTTCTTTTTCTTTGGTGACCTTAGTTCACAAAGTCTGTTACCTGATGGGAGACTGGAGGTGTGCAGAAGGAAGATGTGTTCTTTGCAAGCAGTAGCTCTGGATATACCTGGACACATCATCTCCTACTACCTGGAAAAAGCATCTGGGTGGACTTTGAACATCCAGAGATCATGACAAATGTAAAAAACTTCAGCTGCCTTGTTAGAGTTACTGTATGTGCATGCTGGAAAGCACTGGTCATCTTGTGATGAGCTGCACCGGTTGTCTGTATGTGTCCTCTCATTCCAATTTGTACTGAAAGAGTTGGTTTTGCCATGCATTCCCAGATCACTTGCAGAGCTCACAAGGAATAAGCTCAATCTCAATATTTTCTCAAATTTGTTGAAAAGATATTTCTTACCGTCAATTTTGGCAAGCACAGCTAAGTCCAGTGTATCTCAAATACTGCTTGGGCAAGAGAGCAACACATGGGGTGGGCTGCTGCTTCGCAGATCACCAGGCTTACTGCTTGTGGCCTGCACAACATAAAAATATGGCAGCTCTCTTTAATGCCTCTACTTCTGTGTAAAACTGGTAAAGGATAACTTTCTCACGGCATGCCTCCACCACTTTCTCTACCACTTTGTCTGCTTGAAAGAGTAGCTGACAATAAAAAGGAGTCGGATCATTAAGTTTTCTTTTCCAGACAGGACTCAGTATAACTCAGCAGACCAATGAATATTACGTTTCAGAGGTGCATCCAACTGGTGAATGAGAAGAAACATTTTTTTCCCTGGGATTATTTAGTATGATAATCCATCTTATGCAGCATCTGTTTTATGAAGAACGGGCAGTTTCTTAGTAGATCTGCTCAGAAATTTCTATACAGTCTGTAAGATTATTCCCATTCTGTCAGCCCTGGCCAAGAGGAACTAAATGTAGCGGTGCTTTCTCTGCATTACTGACTTAACATTTGCCCAGGTTCACACCAGGTACTTCTCTTGGAAAAGAGCTTTAGAAGTTGTTTGTGTACAATGTAACAACCAGAAAACAGCACTCTGGGACCTGAAATCTTTTACAAATATCATAACCTCTTCCCAAACTCTTCTCTGCCTTTTTTCAGGCATGGACCCATGCTGGGATTCTGCTGAAACACAAGTACAGTTTCCTAGTGGGATGTGCCTCCATCTCAGATGTCATAGCTCAGGTAATGACTCCTCTCAGCAGTCACTGTTTCTGTTGTGTTATGGACTAGGTGCTTTCCTAAGCAGGGACTCTTTTGTACAGAGACTGTCTTCTCTGTCTGCCGTGGACAGCTCACCAGAGGAACTAATCTTGAGTGCTGTTCTCTGGCTGTTTGCCCATCGTGTGGAGGCTGTTTGCTGACAGTTGTGGTTTAGACTGGTCTCACTTGACCGGATCAAGTCAGTCCCAGGGCAATGTCAGGAGAAGGGAACCAGGATTGCTTGGGCTGGGGCCATGCCTTCCAGCACCTCCACAACCCTGTTTCAGAATGGATGAGAAACAAGCTACATATACACGTATACATCTGGGAAAAAGAAAGGTCAGGCAAAGAGAGCGATGGCTGCTACCAATCCTGGGGCTGATGGATTGCTTTGAAAGAGACTTTTCTCCCTCATGTGCATTCTCCCCCACGCTTCGCATAGTTGCACTGAAATCCTGAGTGGGGCTTGTAGGTGGGGAAGTGAAGGTTTGATTCTCCAGTTCTCCTGTTAGTTTTGCACATGTTGTGTAATCCAGTGAAATACAGTAGTGTAAGCCATCTTCTGAGTGCCAGTATGGCACTGCTCTTGTTACTGGTCCAAAAAGTGATGGCTTAGAACTGCACCAGAAGACATTTGTGGTCATAGCCCCTGGGTGATGCAGAGCAGACCAGATGTTGTTTGAACTTTCATTTGTGAGGGAGGTGTTAAATATCCTGTTGGTTTATACTAGACACACTTAAAAAACCAGCATTCATACACATTGCTCATGGCCAGTGTTGTAGAAACAATATACAGCATATATATATTGAAAGCATATATAAAAATATTACAAAATGGAGAGTCCCAGCACCTGTAAAACAGTTGCTGTACTGCGCCATTACCAGCTGAATGGTCTAATGACTGGGTAAGAAAGAGGATAATAACAGTACATCAAAGGAAATATGAAGTCAACAGCACTTAGTTCAATTTTCCATAGCATTTTCCTCCCACTAAATATGAGCAAACCATAAACCAGGTTGAAACATTCAGTCAGCTGCTATTCTATGGTTGATAGGTCTGCCCCTCTACAGTACTGCACTAAAGCCCAGAAGATAATACCAATTACTGCAAATGACCTTAGCCCTCAGGATCTGCTCTTGTTCTGACGTGACCTACAAAGTTTGCTGACCCTAGGTGCATGTGGGGTCATATACAGCTAAATACAGAAACAAATTCTTATGTTGGCCATGGTACACCTGCCCTTTCCACAGTGGTTGGTGAGTGGAGTGCCAGGGTTGTGAAGAATAAGACACCTGTTATCTTCTCTCAACAAAATACTGCACAGAGCAAGAGCAAATCCAGAAGACCAAAAGTTGTTATTCTCCATACCCCGGAACTCCCTACACCTACATTTGCTCCCTACACAAGCAATAGGTGCGCCGGCAGTAGCTAATTCTTCTTGGGTAGCTTCATATACACACTTTTTTGTGACTTTGCTTCTGGCTTCTGTACTGGAAAACAATTCTTTTGTAGGGTTGAAAAGAGCAATTTTGCAAACCTTCATAAACAGTGTGGCCTGCCTAATAAACATTAACACAGTGTGATTTTTCTTAAGTATTTCTTGAGCTCTAGCAGTGAAGGAGAGAACCTGCCCCTCAACAATGTGTTTTGTACTTCTTGTAACTCACTTGAATGCCAGCATGTGCTGGCAGGATTATCCTTGATTGAACAAAACACAATTTCGTTCCCAGTTGTGCCCCCCATCCCTTTGGAATTTAACAGGCACGCCATCAGCTCTGTACTTAATGGAAGGAAATAATACCATATTAATTGATTCCTTTGCATTTGCTGGATTGCACATTTAATCTTACAGGAATGAATTATGAGCTGTTCATTAGCCCAAAGGTTTCCATCTTAGTTACATCAATGTGGCACTCAGCTGAAGAAAGAACGATGAAATCCTGAGATTTCACTCAAAAAAGTAGAAAATTAGGATGACATAAGACTTCCTGCTTCTAAATGCTGAAGTGAATACTTTAAAACATCTGGCTTTTTAATTGTCACTGCCCCACCCTGTCCACCCCCCCCCCAAAAAAAAGTAGGGTTTATGAGCTAACCCTAGAAGCACATCTCCAGCTTCAGTGTATATCAGAATAGCACGCTCTCGTGGGAAGGGTGACACTTCAGCCACATGCTTGCTGCCAGACCTTGCCAGACTTTCATGCTAACCTTCTTCTATTTATGGCTCCTAGTCTGACACCTGCCCATACCTTCAAGTACAGAGCTTCTGTATGATGTTAACTCTTGTTCTTCTCATTTGTATGACAAATGCAGGGGGTGTCCCGACGAAAGCTTCTAAATGCCACAAGCTCAAAGTCAGATGCTGTAGTCACGCAGGGTTGTTGGTTCAGATGGACTAGCTTGGAGTCAGACAGGAGATACGTTAGCACTGAAGCATCAGACAGACAAATTACTAATCGTTAATTCGTTTGCCCTGCAGGTTGTTTTTGTAGCCATTTTGCTTCACAGTCACTTGGAGTGCAGGGAGCCTCTCTTGATCCCAATCTTGTCCTTATACATGGGAGCACTTGTCCGATGTACCACGTTATGCCTCGGATACTACAGGAACATACATGATGTCATTCCTGACAGAAGTGGGCCTGAAATGGGGGTATGTCTTAATACTTTGCACATTTTTTGAATTCAATAGTTTTAAACTTCTTTTTTTGTGTTATAATACTGTATTAAACCACTGTGCATGAAGAGCCTCCTCGCTCCATCCTGCAGAGAAAAAAAATTTCACTTAGAGAGGCATGGTAGAAACTATTCCAGCAACGGTGCACGAGACAACGCTTCACATGGTATTGATGTGCTGTCTCCTGAGCACCTCTGTACCGAGCTCTCTCCTTCTAGTGCTGTAAGCCAGCACAGAATGAACTAAGTGGACACCTTATTTCACAGGGAAGAAGGTCTCAAAATTCCTCTTTTTCCTCAAATGTCATATTGGTGTTCACATATCTTTGTCTGGTAGAATGAATTATGCAGGTAATATAATGCACCTTATAAATTATTTATTGAGATCCATGATACAGCTTCTTTGGATTTAGTATTGCTAACATAGGTGAAAATATTTTAGGCTCCAGCTATTGAAAACTTTTGAATTGAATATACTAAACTGACAGTGGGTAGGAAAAGCAAAAAACCTTTCTCTGTGTTTTTGGTTCAGTTCTGCATGTTTCTTTCCAAAGCCACTTTTTTTTTATTTTTTATTTTTTCCAATGTGTTGCAGGGAGAGGCTACAATAAGGAAGATGCTGAGTTTCTGGTGGCCTTTGGCATTAATTTTGGCAACTCAGCGAATAAGTAGGCCCATTGTCAACCTTTTTGTCTCCCGGGACCTAGGTGGCAGTTCTGCAGCCACAGAGGTAAGAAAGTCAGTGCTCCCCATTACTGCAAATAACCATTTACAAAGCGTTGCCTCTGTGTTTTTCTTCTCAACTGTTCTGGCAAGAAATAATTGTCCTAAGCACATTTCTCTTTAGTGCTCTTTTTGTCCTTGAATAGAAGACTGCTTGGACTCTTACCATGAGCGTTTATGCCAGGCCTAGTGGGACCTCACCCTCAACAAGACCAGTAGAATTTTTTTCACTGAGCAGTTCCTGCATCCCAGGTGTTCGTGTTCTACATATAGGTACATATGCTCTGGAGCATTCTGATCCCAGAGGTTTTAGGACAGTTGTCAATAGTCCCATGTTCTGCTGTTTCATGCCATGTGCATTTATGGATAGGCAAACTGATGTGAAACGATCCTACTGTTAGCAGTCAGTGCATCACACAGAATAGGGTAGAGATGTGAGGAAGCACATTAAAAAAATCTGTCCCCTGGTTGGGATATGACACGCACCCTGTTTCTCTTGAGGTATTTCAGATTACTCTGATAGTCTCCAAAAGCTGATGGGAGCCAGACTTCTGATTGTAATGCAGAGCCTTCACAGATGCTCACCATGAGCTGACCTGTTCTCTTAAGAAGTGTGAGGGACCTTTGCAGTCAGCTTCGGTGCGAGGACGTCTAGATCCCCATAGTCATTAGCACGTATCTCATGTTTTTTTCTATAGGAAAAACAAAGCTGTAATATACTAAATGGAAAGGAAAATTCAAACAGTTGATGCCGCACACACATTCTCTCAGCACTGCTAATTTGTCATATGCGATGCTGTGTATTTCATTCACTCAGGAGTTGCCAGTGACTGCAAATAAACAGCTGTGGGGAGAGAATTTAGGAAACGTAACACTTATACATGTGTAAATCAGGGATCAGTCTTACAGCAGTCTCAGTGCAAGGGGAGCCAGAGCAGGTTAGCAGAGATCAGTTTTGCATTTCTTGGTGACTTTTGATTTTAGATGGATCATGTTTCATGGCTAGCCTATTGCATTTTGTTGCTATTAGGGTGACTCCAAATGCATGTGGTAGCTGGTGGTTTGCTGGGCTTTTTACACTAACAGTAATGGTCACATTTCAACTTTCTCTGATTTCTGAAATAATTGCCTGTGAAGACGGAGGTGCTGGCAACACGGATAACATCAGTGTCTGGAGCATCAGTATACAAGGGATTTTTATAGGTCCTCTGTTAAATACCATCAGCAACTTTTTAATGTGGGCAAGATGTCCCTGTGAAGGGCTAGGCTGTAGCACGTTCATGAGGACAGCAAGTCCACTTGCACTGGTCAACTCCTGCTGCTTCTGTTTGGACTGCCAGCACAGCTAAGAGTGATTGGGGTACCTTTTTTGGTGTTGGCTTTGATGGGGGACTTTTTCACCTATCAAACACAGGTTCCAGACATTTAGGAAAGCTTTCATGCACATATTTTGGGATCCAACTAGTTGGAAAAAAAATCACTGCTAAAAACGTCAATGATTTAATCCAAGTGGAATCTAACATCAAAATGTGGTAGTGAAATACTATTTTCTTTAACAGTTACTGTGTCTTTGCAGTCTTTTTGGACTTCAGCATGAAAATAAGCAAAATATCTTTTATATTCCTTATTTGATTTAACCTAATTAGGTTTCATACAGATGGTAATTCTGCTGAAAATACAATAAGGGGGGGGGTGCAATTAAAAGGGTACTGTCTTCAAATTCCAGTTTGTTTTCTTTGAACCAATTACTTTTCCAAGGTACATTAAACATTGTTAAAGCTATTATTAGCAGGGAAGAATCTATCCCATTCTTTTCCTCTCTGTGACTGTCACTACTTTCCCCCCTCTTTTTGAACAGCACAGGGAATGAATCAGCTTGCTACATGGTTCTGTGTTTGTATAAATCTTTTAACCAAGCAAAGACAGCAATTACATTTAGAATGGGAAAATGGGTTCAGATAACCAAGAAAAATGTACATTGAGTGTTTAGGAGTGAAACAGAGACAGCAGTAGTTCAGAAAGGTCTTCTTAACACTACCATTGCCAGATGTAAAATTAATCTGAATTTAGGTGAATTGTAACGGACCTGAACCTGTTTTGCAAACAAAAGGCAGTCAAACACTTTGATTTCTGGAATTGAGAGAGATGAGCACTTCTCAGTACACATGCACACTTCAGCTCTGAGGACTAGAAAACTTGGGGTGACAGCATATTTCCAAGCAGCCACAGGAATTGCTCCCTAAACACCCTTCCTACGTGAAAGACATGAAGTAGATATATTTGGACTTTTTCTTCAGATAGCAGAAACATCAGCAAAATCTTTAATACATTAATAAGTGGGGGGATTTATGTCTTTGATGTACCTTTTGGACTGTACTTGTGAAAGTGCAAAAGCACCTAGTTTTACATTGCAGTCAGTGAATTGTTTCTCATGATAAAAATGGTCATCTGGAATTATTTTTGTCTGATTTTCATTGATGAGCACCAAAGTGGGGAGAGCTTCTGCTTTTTGTCTCCTAAGTGCCTCCTGCCCCAGAGCAGTCAGTTTGATGTCCAAAGTCAGTCAGCCACTGAGGCCCACTGTTTTGTAGTCTGTCTGACTTAAAACTGTTTTACTTACGAATAACCAAGTAAAATGTATATAAATTAAAATTATGAAATATGATCCAAAGCTACCATGAGCCGTAAGGCATTCTGCTACTCATGTATCTGTCGGTGAAATAACTCAAGAGCAATGTGGGAGGGAGGTATTTGGCTGGCTGAGGGGCACACAGCAGCTCAAGTTAACTACGATCCTAAGCGTCAGAGTGATGGTGAAACAACAAAGCTGAGTAATGTAGCTTCATGGGACGAAAGATTTCCTAAGCTTAAAATGCCGGGCCAAATGATGGCCATTCTTGATGGTCTTCCTGAAACAAAGAGCTTCCAGTCGCCTGCCTGGTTTCTCACTGCATCAAGGTCAATGTGGTAATATCAGTGGGAGATGGCACCCTATCTTAGCTTAACTGTTCTGTTCAAAGATCTGAAGTTCATGTTTCCCTGTCTCGTTTCATAGGCGGTGGCGATTCTGACAGCTACGTATCCTGTGGGACACATGCCGTACGGCTGGCTGACAGAGATCAGGGCAGTATACCCTGCTTTCGACAAGGTGAGTGCCCATGTTAGGGGTGTAATAAATACCTTTCGTGTGGTTTCACATCCGTGGTCTTCCCCTTTCTCTCTGTTGCAACATTTTAATTTAGGGGTGGCTTCAGTGATGTCAGAGGAATTTCTGCCAAACAAATATGAAGAAAATTAGTTCGTGGCTCCATAATCAAGTGTAACAGATTCTTTAAAAAATAAACCAACCAAAGATTAAATAGGGCTGTATTAATGGCCATCTAATGTTTTGCTTCTCGTTGCTTTTGCTTTTAATGCCTGTTGTTACTTGTCCCACTGATAAGTTTTCTTAAAATCCTAGTTAAAAAGAATTGGGTTTTGGTGGCTTCAAGCTGTTGTCTGATTTATGATTTTAACCTTAGTTCTGTGTTACAAAGTATTAAGCTACCTTTTGAATAGACGGGTGCTGTATTATTATGGATTAAAAGTCCTCATTTATTCACTATGATGTAGCTACTTAGCTAATTAAGTGATTTCTCACAAAGTGTCCATCAGTGAGTGAGCAAGCTCACATCTCTGCACCAGATTCTGTGGTATCTCTCTAAATGGTTTGGGTTCATTTGCTTATGTTAATATTTAGCAAATAGACTATTAACATAGCTGTTTCATAGACTGACAGTAACACAGTTAACATACATTATTTTAGTAGTACTGACTTAGCTGACCAAGACTGTGAAGATTTTTTTGGCAAATCATGTAATTACATAAGAATGCAAGAAAGAACTGCTCCTGGAACTGAGCACAGAGTAAATAAATAACCAAATTAATTTTGTGTACTCACTAGCCCATATGTTGTGCGAAGAACAGTCTTGTCCTCTGACACTCTAATTCAAATGCCAGATCCTCTCCTTCCCTTTATTTACCAATTAGTAACTGAACTTTCTGGTTCCAAATACTGATGAGAAAAATGTTTGCTTGCTCAGGGATATACTTAACCAAAGCAAGCCCCATTTGATATGATCCACCATATTTCCCAGGAGAATTTCAAAACAAAACAAAGAAAAGTCAAATCAGTCATAACTTCCTAACCTGCCTGTGTACAGCTAAATTGACCTGTCAGATAAAATACAACATGCAGGCTTTCTCAGAGGTCATGCTGCTGAAAAGGAACTGCAGATGCAAAACCAATAAGCCCCAAGATAAAAATGGCTTGGGACGGGAAACACAGGGGCTGCTAACCTCATCTGCAATAAGCTACAATCAAATGCACTATTGCCAAGCAAGATTAACAGCAGTTTAGACTCTTAAATCCAGGTCTCATTTAGCTGGCGGAAGATTTTCTGACAACTTTAGCGGTGGCAGGATTAGACCACGATTTGTCTGTTTATTTCAGTTAAAAAGCTTCTTACAGAGCTCTTGCGCAACTAATGTGAGGAAGAAAAAGCTAGGGTAAGGCACAGATAGGTACAATTTATCTAGCTGCCGAAAAAGTATATAATGGGGATTTTAGTTGCATGTTTTAAGAGCAATTTGGCATAAAATACACTAAGTGAGGTAGCAGCAGTATAAAGGGTATCTTGTCCTGGCAACCATGTGTGCAAATGCCTCCACCGTTTCTTTCAGACAATAAAGACCAAACCAGAAACCCACAGTGGGTTTCTTTAGATTGCTGTGAGAATTGCTTTACCCTTGGCCGCATGTCATTTGCGTGTCACCATGCCTTTCAAAAGCTTTGTTTCCTTAAGCTAAGGCTTTTTCAGAAGTGTCCAGACAGAACCACTTTTTATTTCCAGACTCTGTAAAGACTCTGTTGTGATTTTCAGATGCTGAAACAGTTTCCATGCATGCAAACTCCATTTTCTTTTGTCAGTTACTCAGAAAGCTGGTGATGCTGATGGCTGTCAGAAGCAGGCTGCATTGCCTTAACTGGCTGATGGGATTTGGGATCTAGAAAGTACCCCCCTCTTCGATGGCTCTGCCAGAGAAGTCAGATTCTTGTCTTCACAGGGAAATGGTTATCTCTGTTCACATTTGCAAGAAGGTCGCATAGTCCCTCTTCGGTCCTTTGTGTGACTCTGTGTCCAGAGCAGCCTCATGGCCGAGCAGGTACACTCAGGTTAAGGGTTACTACTGACTTGCTGAAAGAAAACAGGGATATCCTAGTTCTGTCCTCTGTTTGCTGTTTTATGGTGATGCTGCCATTAATCCTAGTGGACTGTGACATCTGATCCAGAGCAACGGCAACGACTGTGAGAGGACTTGTGAATGCCATTTTTCTGATTAATAGATGGGTACGGATACTCTTTTTGCTCCATAATCCGCACAGTTTTTTGATCCAAGAACTAAACAGTGTGCAAAGGGATAGGAATGAAGAGTATGTGGTCAAGAGTTAGAGCAAAGGGCAGAGTAGAACAAGGGCCGGGTAGCAGCAGCAAGATAGGAACAAATGAGAGCTTTCTTTCCTCTCTCTTATTTGAGCCCTGTTAGGAAGCTGAGCCATGATCAGCAGAGTTCACTTTGCAGTGGTGAGTGATGTAAGCAAGGCCCATCCTCACATGCAGTAAAGCTAACAGGAACAAAGTATTTCTTCGGAAACACAAGAAAGGAGGATAGACTCATAAAGACAATGTTTACAGAGAGCTTTCATAACCTGTTCCCAAAAAGGGCAGACATGGGAGTAGCTTCCTGCTTTAGGGTCTGGGTTGCCTGCATGCATCCTCATGCACCCACGCTTCCAAGCAGGTATTTTGGCAGGAGCATGGGGCTGTCTAGGTGCCATCACTGCACTAAACCACAAAAAGCTTTAAATTGTAAAATTTCACCATCTGCTCAAATGTATGTGTGAAATGGTGTACGTTTCACAGAGCTCACACTGGGTTTGTCCATGCCCAAGATCTGTTTGCCTAGGCTCCTTAGGTTTGCCTAGGTCTCTCTTATGAGTGACCGCTGGAGAGGAGGCTGACCGTGTGACAGATACTGCTGTTCTACCTGAGGTACGTCAAGGATGAATAAACGCTGTACTACATCTCATGGTACAGTTTTTATCAGTGTGGGCACATACCTGTGTATCTCAAACAGCCCCAGGATAAATGCAATAGATGACCAAACAGCCTATTGCTACAGGGCTCCTAATGGTGCCCTGCTTTTGATATCACATCCTCTCCTTTCACAGACCATTTAGTCTGGTTTTATGTGTTCCCTGAGGGCAATTTTAAATCTTCAGCTTCATTTGTTATAATAGACATTTGGAAGAAAGCTTTTGTTGTTGTTTTAAATAAAACTTTGCTGCCATGTGAGTAGAGAGCCCATGTTCAAGGTGGAACATCTAATAGTCCTAATTATGTTCTGTTCATTAAACTGCATTAACAGAGCCAGCTGTTCCAGGAGCTTTGTTTATATTACCTACTTGTCTAATTGGATCAGTAAGGGTGCTTGCATTGGCGTACGGATTTGGTACCACTCTGTGGTAAAAAGGAATGGAATCCTGTTTTTCCTGTGAAAACATGCTACGAACTTTAAACTAAGGTAAAAAAAAAACACATAGAGTTGCCTTAGAAAGAGCTACCACCCTTTTTCAATTTGTTAAATAGGACTTATTTCTTAGAAAAGTAGGGAGATTATCCAGCCCTCAGTGACCATAGGAGCAGTTGCTCTCAGTTTAAGCGGAAAATATTCTGTGATGGTACAAAGTACTCAGAAAGCTCTAAGTTGAAAAGCAAACAAGCAAAGACAGACATACATGCGCACAGACACTCAGGTCTAACACACGACCCTGGTGCCATCAGCCTCCTGGTAGTCTGGAGCCAAACTAATGCTGGTTATCTCTTTCTCTCACCCTAGAATAACCCCAGCAATAAATTGGTGAACACCAACAGCACCGTCACAGCGACACATATCAAGAAGTTCACTTTTGTTTGCATGGCATTATCCTTAACGGTAAGAAACGTTTGTTCAACTCTCTGGCTTTCATCTCAACCAGAAAATTATCTCCTCTACCTAATGCTAAAAGCACTAGCAGTTCAAGAAAGGTGAGTTGTCTTTTCTTATGAAGCTCTGTTGCTTTTATCTGGAGGGAGGAGTGTGGTCATAGTACTGGAGTACTAAGGAAATCAGCTATCATTAACTCAGACTAGATATCTTACAGGCCAGAGTTATTTTATTTAATTCTTCTCACTACTTTTCATTTCAAGTTGGCCTTCACATGCAAGGAGATATCAGAGATCTTCTTTTCTTTTTTCTCTTTTTTGTAATGAACAAAACTTCTTGTAACCAGCTTGTCAGAAAAATGAAAAACCACATTTGTCTCATGTGCAGTGGATTAGCAGCCTGTCCCTGGGCTTCCATCTTCTACTGTGAACGGTGGGAAAGGCAGCACAGGTCAAAACTGCAGTAGCTGGTCCCTGCTGCCTTCTGTGGCACTGGTTTTCCATGCTGGGGGTACTTTCGTGCATGGTGATTTTGTCTACTCTCAAAATGAACTAAAAAGGGCAATTTCAGAGACGGTGCTGACACTGACAAAAGGATCTAAAGCCTTGTCTGTGCTGGGAAGCATTGCAAGGGGCTGCCATTCAGAGAGAAATTTTGCTGAGCAAGCAGCATTTCAAAACGACCAGCTTGCACACACACGTACAGCACATCTTCCCCAAGAAAGCTGTTTCTGCACAAGTCTTTTTAGCAACAAACAGGCAGTTGTGGAAGAAAACTCATGCAGGTGGTGGGGATCGTGGCAAACAATGGAGCAGACGACCGGGGTAAATGCAGCTTCTGTTTCTGCATAGGATGGGTTTACATTAGTTCCTGGAGCTGGTCAAGCCACCCTCTTCCCACTTGGGGTGGACTTGAACAACCATGCCCTGTCCGTGACAGACATTAGCAGATCTGTGATCCGTGCACGGTGTCCTAAGGAGGCCTGAGCTGGCTCCTGCCAGGGCGCCGCCAGGCGCCAGGACTGCCAGGGTCAGTCACGGCAGGGCCTG